ACATTAAAATCTGGAACCACCAAGACATCAAATAAAGTAACATTGTTTGACAATTTTAAATTCTCAATTTTATTTATTTTTGCCTCAGTTCCATTTGGGTGATTTACTTTTAAATTTAAATCAGATATGTCAACAACATTGTCTAAATTTGAAAAACTAGATGTCATGTGTTGATTAGCTCTAAAATCAATAATCCATCCAGACTTATGGAAATTAGATAAACCTTCCATATTAGCATAAGTTGCCTCAGAGGGGTTCTTTTGATCTAATAAGGCAAGAAGTTTAGCAACTCCTTCCTCAGAGAAGGAAGGAGTTGACGAATGAGGGAGCTTTCCACTCCCATGAGAGTCTGTCACACAAGCATTACTAGACAGGGATTTAAAACCTTGATTTGAGGGTCTTGGTGGTTTGTTTTGAAAATCTTTTGGGAAGCCAATAAGTTTAAAGCATCTTTCAATTGCATGCCCAGAAATACCATAATTTACAAAGTAAATTTGACGGATTACCAGTCCTTTTCTTATTATCATTAACTTTGCTAAAAAAACACAAAATTCCGACTTTTATTACCAGAGGACACACCATAGCCTCCAAGATGAGACTCTTCCCTAGATATAAGAGAAAGGGCAGTTTTAACAGAGGGAAGAGGGTCCCTTGAAATAATGTTACTCCTAATAGGTTGATAGACATTATCAAGACCCATTAAAAATTGCATGAGTTTTATCAATTGACTGTGATTAAAAAAATCGTGAGAGGCATTGCAAGTGCAAGTGGGAAGAGTAACAAGAGCATCAAAGTGTTTCCATAAAGAATTGAGCTTGTGATAGTATTCTAAAACATAAGACACATTTTGACTTAAACAATTAATTTTTTGGTAGAGATTCAAGGTAACAGATCCATCAACCTTGTCATAAGTTTCTTCGAATTCCTACCAAACCTTGGAGGAATCTTATGAAAAAACTTGTCCTAAAAATAGATCCTCAGTGACAGAACTTAAAATCCAACTTAGGACAACAGAATTACATATGTCCCATTGTTTTTGAAGAACAGGGTCACCGTTTGGTCTAACACATGATCCATCAATAAACCCAAGTTTGTTCTTGGTTTCAAGAGCCAAGGTTGTAGCACAAACCCGTATTATATAGTTATCATTTTCATTTAATTTCATATTTAAAATGGGAGTTCCATTGGTGTCCTTGTGATGTAAATACAAGGGGTTCCCAAAGTCTAATTTTGCAATCTGGGATACTCCTTGGCTCTCAGTGACAGCAGAAGGACCAACCATTTAGAGAAGAAACAGACAAAAAACCAAGATGTAGACAGGATAGCAAGAAACAATATTTCTAAAACACTCAAAGGTGCTAGGTCAAACTATCCAAACACACACACAAAAGAATAAGATAAAAAAAAAGAAATGGACAGGATAGCAGAAAAAAATTCCTAAAACACTAAAAGGTGCTAGGTCAAGCCAACTAATCGAGCCACACACAATGAACCACAAAACACAAACAAGAACAGAAACCACCACAACAATAACAGAAGAAACAACACAAAAGAATCATGCCTACAGACCAAGGGCAATGACTCGGTAACCTTGTTATCGACAGGGAAGGGAGAGAGACTTACAGAGATCCTGCTAACAAGGGAGCAGCCGAAAGAACACCAGATGGTGACCCAAGAACCATAACAAAAAACTTAAACAGAGGTTAGAAACAGCAACCACAAGAAACAGAGAGTTGAACACAACTCAACAGAAAATCTCACTCAAAGAGGAGACAAAAAACGGATATAAGATCTTGATAAGAACCAAGATATAGATCTGTTAAAAACAAGGTACAAAACATACCAACAAAAGACATGCAAGCCAAAGGACTTACACAAGATCAATACCTAAACAAAATAAAAGGTTGTTACATTGAAGTAAAGAACAAACAAAGGAGCCAAGTCTAAACAAATGAAGAGATCTGAAAACTTACTTAAAGAAGGTAAAGAACCCGGAGAAGAAGTCCCCGATTAGAATGAACAGGTGGAACTTACCAAGAAACAACCAGATTTGAAGGAATACCCCCAAGAGAACAAACAGTTGCTCAATGACGACAGAGAAGATGAACAGCCACCAGGACAGTCACGTTCTAAACTATTAAAACAAAAACAACTCTTATACCATGTACAAACACTGAATCTCAAATACAAGAAATTGAAACAGAATGACACTCTAATGAAACCCTAAAAATCTCTCAAGAAAGACAGAGAAACTCTCAAAATTGTAGAAAATGAATGCGTCGATCTGAGCTTCGAAGAGCCACACGAAGGGGTGTGTGTGTGTATATATATATATATATATATACATATATTTCAAGAAGTTCTAGATTGACCCTTCAAGTTTATCCACAAATGCTCTGCTGCCCTTCTAGAAACTTGACAGCTTCAAACCACCCTCCTATTTGCACCTTTACAGAATCAGTCCTTTTAACCAGCAACCTAAAATATAACACCAAAGTCCATAAATGACAAGATTGAATAATAATAAAGTTGTATTGAATCTAGGTGTAGAGTAGAAAATGCATCAATAAGCCTCATAACTTTTCAAGAAAGTTGCAAGAGCAAAAGGCATCTCAAGTTTGGCATTCAAGTCCCTTGAAAGTGAAAGAAATAAAACCTATAAAGAAGAATGATCACCATTTATCCTTAAAGAAGAAGAACAACCACTACTAACGATATACTCACCATCATGATAGAGCTTCCAATTTTAATTGACGGATGCCGAGTCCACCAAATTATAAACTCCAACTATTGGCTAATTGCAACGAAAATTATAGTAGCGGTAAGTCGGGTCGAATCCACAGGGGCTCTGTTTTAAATTATTATTGCCAAATAGTTCAAGTACAAGAACAAATTATTAAAAGTAAATACGAAAAGGTGGGGGTTTAGATTTGATTAATTAGACTAAACATGAGATTAAAACTAATTATAAACAATGAAAACGAAACCCAACACTAGTCACTCCCGATGATGATGTAAAAACTTATCAGTGATCTCGCAAATGTAAAAAGATAGGATAAGCTCAAGTTGGTTATGGTTATCAACAAGCTCTGACAACCTTTGTTTTCACCTAATTAAACATTAGCTAAAATCAGCTCTTTAGCTAAATCTTAACTACAAATGAAACAATGAACAAGTTCTCAACATCCAAAGCGTAATTAGCTTTAACGAATTAGAAAACGCCGACTCAAAGAATTAAGCTCATATGCTCAGCTTAATACCACTTTGATTATGAGATTTCAAGAACTCAAATTGAAAACCTTATTGAATTCAAAGAGTTCCATTGTTACTCTATTGAAGTCACAAGACAATTACGTATCTAATGTTTTGAATAACAAACATTCATAGGACTATTAACTAATTGGTCAATTTAATTAACATTCAAATGAAATTAACGATTAACCTACAAATCAAACAAATAAACTTGTCCTAAACCATTACAACGACATCTCAAAGCGAGAAAACATCAAAATCTAAAGTTAACTAATGTTGGAATAAAAAAAAATTAGCCACACATAGCTAAACTAGGTTACCGATTCGATAGGTTTCAAGGATTTACCAAAAGATTAACAAGAGATTGATGAGAAAAATCCTTCCAATCGATCGGACCTGCTGCCTCTCTCTCAATCGAACCGACTTGTTGCTCCTTTTTCCCTCCCTCGAACAAACATGTTGTCTTTTTCTCAATCAAACAGATGTACTGCGTTTTCCTCGATCGAACAGACGTGCTATTGGTTTCTCTCTCGATGGTTCCCCCCTTTTTTTTCCTGATTCTGGGTTTTAGTTTCACCCAATGGACCTTGGCTTGGCAGCCCATGCTTAGATCCATGTTTCTTCTTTCTTATACCCTCATGAAACACGAACCATAAATTGTTTGATGCCATAAAAAGAAATACATGTTACACGTAGTTGGGTCCTATTTAGTCTAGAACATCATTAATTTATGGTAATTTGATATTAAAGATATACAAAATAAATCATTTCTCATTAATTAAAAACTAAAAACAAGAACCTATTTGTGTCAAATCTTTGGCATTCTTTCTCTTATTCTTTCTTCTTACTAGGGAAGCCGATGTTACCCAACAAAAAACAAAGACGAGGATAACGACAACCACAAGAAGCAGTTTCCAACAATACTGTTTGTTTTTGTTTATAAGCAACGATGTGATGTGTTTTGGCTTCAACTACCTCGAGATGGAGGGTTACTAGTCTTATTTATGATGCTAGTAATCTTCATTGACATTCCCATCTCTTCATGCTTTCTTGTTTTTCTCGTTTCTTAAAAGTTTCTCTCTCTCTCATGTACAAACTCGAATTATGATAGAAAGTTAGAATTTAGATTTAGCAATGGGGCCTATGGACCGATATGATGATTGGTTTAGGTGGCCAGCCTAGCTCGGAGCTGATCACTTTCACTTGGTCGACTGGTATCTTGAAACCTCCCCTATTCCGACGAAAAACAGCCCCTTTTCTTTTTGTTTARCCTGTTCCTATCAGAAAAATTACGATTTCAGAGAAGAGGAAAAAAGTGGGATTTGTTTTTTAATTTCGGTTTTGTTTTTACCCTTTATATACAAATGAAAAAAAAACGAAAAGTAATTAATTAATAAAAAAATAATACATAAGATCAAAATGACGAGATTGAAGGACATATGGATGTTCTAAAGAGCAAAAAGTAACGACGTAATTGTTTCACTTTAGGGACTTATTCATAATTATTGGTATACCACAAGGACCAAAAATGTAACTTACTCAAAAACATCGGAAGACGAACATTTGGAAGGCTAATAATGATCGAAAGAAACTAATCCCCGATGTTTTCTAAATCCAAGGAGTAATCCCAACCACTACTTCCCCCTATATCAGTCTCTCATGCCCTCCTTTTCCAATTGCCCCTTTGTCCCCCAATTTTCATTCCAAGATCTCTCTCATCTTCCCTGAATTCCAAAAATTCAACCAAAATGAGAGAGATCTTGCACATTCAAGGGGGACAATGCGGCAACCAAATTGGTTCCAAGTTCTGGGAAGTCATCTGCGACGAGCATGGTGTCGATCCCAACGGCAACTGCACCGGATCATCAACTGATATCCAACGTGAACGAATAAATGTTTATTACAATGAGGCATCCAGTGGCAGATACGTCCCGCGTGCAGTCCTCGTGGATCTTGAGCCTGGTACCATGGATAGTATCAAAGGTGGTCCCTATGGCCATATCTTTAGGCCTGATAATTTTGTGTTCGGTCAATCCGGTGCTGGCAGTAATTGGGCTAAGGGGCATTACACTGAAGGGGCGGAGTTGATTGATTCCGTTCTTGATGTTGTACGTAAGGAGGCTGAGAATTGTGATTCGCTACAAGGTATGTAAATGTATCAACTACACGCTCTTACATTTTTTAGGAACGAATTTATGATTCGTTATGAACATTTAACATATGAATTTTACGTGCTGAAGATGATTATAAGCTTTGAATAATAATTCGTTATGCAGTGCGATGACACTTTATTAAGATTGTATCTTATTTCTTTTGCAATGTGATACATAATGTGATCTTATATATCTGTAGCGCAACATATGAACATATCAATACACATTCTTACTTTGTGCATTTCTCTTGGAGTTGAAATTTAGCAATTCTGTTAGATTTGAATGTAATTCTTTTTGAAGATCAAAATATTAATTATATTATTAAATTATTTTATATTGCAATAAAATATTATCTCTCTCATAAATATTTAACTCCAAGGTTTCTTATCGTGAACAGAAATAAGTCACATGTTTAATTTAAGAACACCTTTGTTTTGCAAAAGTTCACAAAAACTCGACAGTTCTTAGCATGTAGCCGATTGGTACATCAGTTTCTTGAGACAGAAGTAAGGTCTGCATACATTTTACTTCTCTCAAACTCCACCTCTAGGTGTGATATATTAGATTTTCTTGGTTCTGTTAGGTGCTAATGGGGTTCTTTTTTTGTTGTGATGGCAGGTTTTCAGGTTTGCCACTCACTTGGAGGAGGCACAGGGTCTGGAATGGGAACACTCTTGATTAATAAGATAAGAGAGGAATACCCTGATAGGATGATGCTTACATTCTCCGTTTTCCCTTCGCCAAAGGTCTCTGAAACCGTTGTTGAGCCCTATAACGCCACACTCTCGGTGCACCAACTGGTTGAAAACACAGACGAATGTATGGTCCTTGACAATGAGGCCCTTTATGACATATGTTTCAAGACTCTGAAAGTCACCAGCCCAAGTTGTGAGTACCCATGTCGAATTCATCACCTTTGTCCCTTCGTTGTCTCAACGGTAGGATAGTGGGCATCTAAACCGTAGGTCGCAATGCGGCACCACTTATTGCAAGTTGCAACGATCTATGTCCCCCATGATTAAGGGAGAATCTAAAGGGATGTTGGGGTGGGGGGCCCCATGAGTTTAAAAAAAGAATACATATAAATATTATTAATTATCTATACAAACTTTATTCTGCCCCCACATAAAAAATAGTATGATCCCCAACTCAGTAATGATTTTTTCAATGCAAGTGTCCTTTTTGTCATGGAAAAAGATTTTATATTGGAAAAATTGTACCAAAAATGAAATCAACTTTCACCTAATTTTTATTTTGGGGAACCAACTTTCAAAATCGTCATTTAGGGGTATTTATCAAACTTTTTGTTTATTTAAGGATCTGGTTGATCTACTGAACATGTAACAGGTAATTTAAGGGTCTCTATCAAACTTTTGGTTTGATTTGCCAAATTTGATTTAAACTTTAATATTGATACGGATTGGTTAGATATAAAAATCTTGAATGTAATACTTAATATTTATTTTTTATTGCATCAATTAATTTTTTTTATTAAATTGATTTTTTTATTACATTAGTAAAAAAACAATTTTTACTGTAGTAATTTGGATTTTTTTTGAAAAAAATCTTCAATTTGGTATCTGAATTTAAAAAAACTAAATTTAAAATGAAAAATAGATTTGATTGCATTAATTTTTGAAAAAAAACGAATTTTAGTTATTTTTCTATAATTATTTTGCAAGTTGGTTCCCAAAATAAGAATCAGATGCAAGTTTGTTCCCAAAATTATGATTTTAAAAGTTGGTTCTCCAAAATAGAAATAAAATTCGAGTTGGTTCCATTTTAATGCAATTTTTCCATTTATATTATATTAAATAAATTATGCTTTATCAAAAATTTTGGATCTACCAATGTAAATTGTGACTATAGAATAAGTGTAACGGGGGCATTCTACATGGTGGCGTCAACCCTTTTGAAATTTCAAAAATTTTAAGATGGATCGAGTAAAATTTGATCGTTTACGTCTTTCGTATTACAGTTGGCGACCTGAACCACTTGATCTCCACAGCCATGAGTGGTGTAACGTGCTGCTTGAGATTTCCCGGCCAACTAAACTCCGACCTCCGGAAGCTCGCGGTTAACCTGGTTCCTTTCCCGCGTCTCCATTTCTTCATGGTCGGTTTCGCACCCCTCACTTCTCGCTACTCCAAGAATTACGTCTCTGTTGGTGTCCCCGAGCTGACTCAACAAATGTGGGATTCAAAGAACATGATGTGTGCAGCAGACCCACGCCACGGCCGATACCTGACGACCTCCGCCATGTTCCGAGGTAAGATGAGCACCAAGGAGGTTGACGAACAGATGATGAACGTTCAAAACAAGAACTCGTCTTACTTTGTTGAGTGGATCCCTCACAACGTTAAATCGAGCGTTTGCGATGTCCCACCAACCGGGATGAAAATGGCGTCGACCTTTATTGGGAACTCGACATCGATCCAAGAGATGTTTAGACGAGTGAGCGGGCAGTTCACGACCATGTTTAGGCGAAAGGCGTTCTTGCATTGGTATACCGATGAGGGAATGGACGAGATGGAGTTCACGGAGGCGGAAAGTAATATGAATGATTTGGTATCGGAGTATCAGCAGTATCAGGACGCGACATCGGAGGAGGAGGAGGAGGAGTACGATTACGAATAAGCCGTCGAAAATCGAGCAGTACGAGGATTAAAACGCATGGTTGTTTAGTATAACATGTGAAAAAACAAAGTAACGTTGGTTTGCCTCATTTCTTGTCATTGATTCTTTGTTTTGTTCTAAATCACAATTTTCCCTCCTTTCGGGCTCTAGTCTCCTTGTCGTTTACTTTCGGCCTTATTTTCTTTTAAACCGAACCGACACATTGATATCTGGCGTCGTTTACAAACGTTAACTGTTCAAGTCCAAATAGGGTAAGATATTCAGTTATGCCTCTTACCGAGTAAGATTTTTGGTCCTTCTCATAACCATCCGGTAAGATAGGTGATTCAGTAAGTGCTTACGCGGTTAGCAATTGGTAAATGACCCCGTCGTAAATGAGAATGTTCAATCCCTAACTCGATTCAAATTTGATTTGGTAGAATCCTACGGTGGTTAGATTTGGCCTAATTCTTTTTAATATATATTGAAAATTAATCTAACGACATTCTACATATTTTAAAATATACGTTAAAAATATTTTAAAATACTCCCATCAAACCGTATTATAACAACTTTCAAAATACACATAAAATCATACAATTTTATAAAAGAATAATGAGAAAAGAAAAATAAATGTTATTTCTAAGTCTAGAGATGGCCAAATGGGCCCGGCCTGGCCCGTAACCGTCGGAGGACCGGAACCGGGACTGGAGAGGGACCGGAACCGGCCCGGGACCTGTATGGACCAGTTATGTACCGCCGGTTATGAACCGATTATGGATTTTAACGTTTTTTAGGACCGAGACCGGTTAAGACCGGAACCGGTTATGTAACCGGTTATAGGACCGGTCTGGCCCGACCCGGTCAACAAAAGTCAACGTGTATATATATATATATAACAAAACATATTTTTAAACGTATTTATAAAATTAAACGTATTTATAAAATTAAACGTATACATATATAACAAAAACATATTTTTAAACGTATTTATAATAAAACGTATTTATATAAAACATATTAATAACATATTAAAAATAAATACGTTTAATTTTATAAATACATTTAAAAATATGTTTTGTTATATATATAAATTTATTAATTACCAAAAATTAGAAAAAATAAATAAAAAAATTGCAAAGGACCGGCCGTAACCGGTTATGGGACCGGAACCGGGACCGGACCGGACGGCTTAACCGGTTACCAGTAAGCTTGACCGGTTATGGAGGATTTCACCGGAACCGGGACCGGTTATGAAACGTTTTTGTCTTGATCGGGACCGGCCGTAACCGGTTATGGCCCAGCCCGGGACCGATTTTTGGCCACTTCTATTTCTAACATTAAAATCAGCATTTTTATCTTCTTTTTTAAATAAAAAGTTTGAGAAAGAACTGTCTTTGGAGAAATGTATATTTTTCATAATGAAAAAGTTTAAGAAGATCTAACAATTTTTTTCATTTTGAATGGTTTAGTCCTTAAGCTAACTTTTTGAATGAGATTAAATTTTCTCATTTTGAATGATTAAGTTTTTGAACTATTTTTCTGAATGAAAAAACCATTAAACTTTCACGTTTTAAATGATTAAGACCCTAATTTGTTTTTAAAAATAAATAAACCATCCAACATTTACTAGTCGATTAATGTAATTTTTGTTGTGTTAAAAGAATGCAGGTAACCAATTTTTAAAAATATGATGGTTTATTTAATAAAAAAAATATCAAAGGCTTAATCAATCAAAATAAAAAAATTTAATGATTTTTCATTCAAAATAAAAATAGTTCATGAACTTAATCATTCAAAATGAAAAAGTTTAATGATTTTTTCATTTAAAAAAATAGTTCAGAAACTTAATCACTTAAAAATGAAAAAATTTATTGATATTTTCAGATTTTTTTTTAACTTTTCCCTTCTCACAAAGTTAAAATCAATTTTCAGAGTTTTGTAAACAATAATTAATAAAATGACACTTGATGTTGGTTTTTTTTTTCTTTCATAAATTGTATGTAGGATTTTATTAAGGAAAAAACACTAGTGATTATATAAAGGTTGTTTGTTTATCTTTTAATAGTTTCGTTAATAGATAACATATGAATCATTAATAGGCGAGTCTTGTTTGACAAAAAAAAGTCTGTTTTTTAATGGTTCTAAAACTCTCTGAATGATTTTATGTCATGAGTCTCACTTAACCATTAAGCGCCAGAATTTTATTGTAAACAATTACCAAACAATTATATTTCATTTTGCACTATATCAGGAAAGCTCTTAATCATTCTGACTACTTAATTATTTTTCACCAAACCATTCAGTAACTGTCAAACAAAGCCTTAGTTTTAACAAATTTCATATATATTTAAGGAAATCTCTATTTAGTATTTAAAAGAAAAAGGAAATGAAAATCGTAGTATGTTTTTTATTTGGCTGTTAAATAAAAGTAATGACTTTGTTTATATCGTAAGAAAATAAATAAAAATGTAAATACAACCAATTAATATCAAAATTTTGTTAAAAAGGTCATAAGATATCTATATACGATAAATGTAATAAATAAACTTATAAATAAAATTTATTATAATAACTCAAATATAATAAAGATTAAACTTTACTAATCTAATATAACGGTTGAGTTTCGGTGAAAAATAAAAGTTATGATGAGAACTGTAAGAAAAGATCTATGTCATTTCATCAATCTTAATTGAAGATCAACACTAATAAGATATACCGAATCAATTCTTGTATCAAACCAATCCATGGATGGAGTGAGACTAAAAGTGATCAATAGTTCAGATCTTTTTTTATGTTTCTGTGATCACCTTAACTCTTATTCTCACACGATATTTTATCTATAACCATAATACTTGTTACACAGTATTCTACGTTTCATAATTTCATAAGAGATTTAATCAAGTGAGAACCACACATATTATAATAAACGTGAGAACTTTTATCTTAAGGTATTGTTTTACATGATTTTTTTTATTTAAAATTAATATTTAATTTATTTATCAACATATATCTGTTATATATCTGTTTAATAACGTGTTTACGTGGAAAAAAAAATAGAGAAAGAAAATATTCGGGAGAGTTGGCCAAAAATATTCGGTGGCAAAAGCAACCAAGCAAGATGGTCCATTGGAAATGGTTTTATGCGCCGTCATCCCATCTGCATGTACGCCACGTGTCCTATATCAATTGCCACCCTGTTCCCTTTCTTTTTTATTTTCTGTGAAAAAAAATATATAATTTTCTATTAAATTTTATCATTTTACGTGAACATTTATTTAAAATACACCACCCTAACTTATACTATATTATAAAGCATTTGGTAAAATTTTTAAAAATAATTTTTTATACATAAAGTATTATTTATTGATGTATATTACTTAAAATTCAAGATTATAAATAATTTTTCATAAGTATAATTTATTAAAGCTTCATTTTTAAATTCATATAATTAACTACACATAAAACATAATCAAATACATGATAAACATTCATCTTAAATATAAAAAATCTAAAATATAATTAAAATAAACATTGACTTCTAACATAATGATTAATTATTATATTTATAAAAAAATTATTATGAAAAAATCAAAAATAAATTATAATAAAAAATTAAATTAAATAAGTTACACCAAAAACACAAAAACTATTAAATAGTTAATTTGATATTAATATCAATTTTTTTTTCAAATATTTATGTTATCTTTAAATTTATATTTATAAAAAAAATAAAAACATTATCGTTTTCTCAAAACCACGTAAAATCGTATTATATCGATAGAGAGAAATAATAAAAACTAAACATTAAAATAGAAATTTATCTTACTGTATTGCGCAAGTACCCTTCTGGTTAAAATAAATGTTCCCCTTTATTATCCAACCTAATATACTGAGAAAATTCATATTAAATATCTAGTTTGATTCTTGTTATTATGTATTTAACATCTAATCGTTATTATTATGTATTTAACGTCTAATATTACGGTAACATTTATTAATTAGATTCATGTAAGTCTTTCTTCAATCAAAAACTTATAAACTTGTAAGAATCTTAAAAACTAATGTAACATGTGCTATTTCATATGATTTTTAATTTTAGACTATGGTTTTTTATATTTATTAACATATATTTGTTTTTACTGACGGACCCCATTAAAACAAAAACAAAATTTTTACAAGGGTTAAAAGTATTACTTTTTCTAATTTCTCACTTAGTTTCCCACGGTAAATTTTTGTAAGGAAACCCCACAACCTTAGCCGACCATCGTCGACTCCAAAAAGTCTCTTAAAATCAACAAAACACTAAAAAAAGTCTCTTGAAATCAACCAAAGAACCAAAAAAGTCTTTTGAAATCAATAAAAAAAACTGAAATAATCATTCGAAATCAAAAAGGACTCTAAAAAAATTATTCGACATCAATTAAAAAACTTTAAAAATTCCTTGAAACGATGAAATTAGGCTAAAAACACGATGGGCGACTTTACGCACCTTTAGTCTACCTGAAAGGTGACTCCAGTAGGTAAAAATCTTGAAACTGCAATTGTTTGTTTCACATGTATTTAGTTCATAATATGAAATTTTTGATGTGTTTGTGAAACAAAAAAGTGTTAAAAGTATCACGTGAGTGAACCAGGGACGGGCCCAACGGTTTTTGTGGTGGCACGTGTCACTGTTTCGTTCCTTCGTCGTAGTGCAAAAAGTTATAGAGTCGGTCGTGAAAAGTGTCAATGTATTAATTTGTTGTGTGTCACCTATATATCTTGAAACAATAATAAGAACACAAGTTTCCATTAATATAGTTGGTTTGCAAGAATTTTCTTCCACCTTAGACCCAAAGTTCAAATCCAATTAGTGTTATTTCTTAGTTTTTAACACTTAATTTCAGATTTATTATGTTTCTGAACAAAAATTGCAATAAAAAACTTGAAAAAACAAAACTTCACATATGAAAAATAACAAACTAACCAACAAAACAATGATGATTTTGTAAAAAATATCCCTACAAATTTATTTTTTA